TATGAGAGACTAGCCCAAACCGTATGGGAGACTAGCTCAAGTGTATTGGACCGTATTGGAGACTAGCTTGGAATGGAGACTAACTTAGAGACTGGCTTGGAGACTAAGTAAAGTAAATGCACAAGTCTCACAAAAGCCATGCACCAGATGGAGAAACACACCAAGTATGGTGGACCAAGCTTAAAATCGAAACAGAGCATCTCACCATGAACAACTATGAAGTTTTTACAGAGGTTCAAGTATATTATTTTACAAGGATCATGAAGGAGAAAAATATCTGATATATTTTCATCTGTACATCAAGTTTTTACGGTGGAACCGGAGACGCTCAAAGAAGGCTGATTCGCGGAGAAAATATTTTATACTCAAGCAAGAATCAACAGATAAATTATTTGATCAACTTGACATGTCAGAGCATTTATGAAGGAAAGAAATATCAAGCTTGCCGCGCCGAACTTATTCAAATTTTGGAGGCTACAAAATTCAAGACACGGCAACGGGCAATTTATTCAAATCATTTGACAAAAGGAGAAATGACATCTACCTAATATTTCAGATCAAGTTGACAATATTATTTGATCAACTATAATTCAAAATGGACGATCGAGATCGAAAGTTGATCAACGGGCAAATAGCTTTCATTGGCTATAAATTGTCCTAACAGACTTGAAGACAAGCAGCGATTGAGCAGTTCAACGACTTGAACAACGGCTAAGACATAAACAACGGCTAAGACATACAAGCAAAAGATACAATCTATTTTTTCAATTAGCCGAAAAAAGGGGAAACTGAGCTTCATAGAATTACATTCAAGTCTGAGTGAGAGAAAAATTTTATCTCTTTGTAGATTTCTCTACTGAGTGTAGAAAGAGGGCGGAGTAACTAGAGAGAGTGAAAAACCCTGGTTGAGTGTAGCTTTGTGCGTAGCACTCGGTGTGAAGGGCAGAGTAACAAGAGGAGCTTGTGAAAACCCTGTGAGGACGTAGCTTTGTGCGTAGTTCTCGTGGTGTAGGAGTACAGCTTGGTGCGAAGTACTCGGGAAGGCGGAGTAACAAGAGGAGCTTGCGAAAAACCTTGGAGGAGTGTAGCTTTGTGTGAAGCACTCGGAGAAGTGTCGGTGGACACTTATTCACTATTGTATCTGGGTGATCGAAGAATAGTGAATTTCCTCCTTGAAGTGAAAGGAGAAGAGTGGACTAGGAGGATTACACCACCTCTGAACCACTATAAATCTCTCTCTCTATTTACTTACTGCTCATATATATTTTGTGCATGCTTATTCTAACTGCGAACTAACCCGATTACGATTTATCACATATCTTTATCTGTCTGGGTTTGATAGTCCCACGTATGCATGCAAGCCAAACTTTGCGTTCATCATCTTTGAACCATATCAAGTGTTTCTAACGTGTTGCATGTTTAGAATCTCTCTTTGAGCACCGCACTATTAAGCATAACACTTTACCGCTACCTATTCCGCTGCACACTCTAAGTTGTTTATCTTGTTAATGCTTGTTACTCAAAGTTGAAATTACCAAAGTGTTATTTGCCTTGTGTGTTTTCGAATAAAGTTTAAAAAGTTAGAGAAGTCTATTCACCCCCCCCCCCCCCTCTAAACTTCTCGCCACCCTTTCGCGACTAACATACTCCTTCAGCGCAACTTCTTTTTCCGCATTTTCTCCCTGCTATTGGAGACTCGCTCGCCAACGACCGAAGAAATTCCTCCGCGAGTTGCGATCTCCTTTTTGCCGTGGTGTTGACCGCGCTTTGTTCAATGATCCGAAACTGTTGGTGCATACTAAAACTTTTATTAAATAACATACAATTAAAAGCTTAAATACATTATTAGAGTCCAAATAATGATTGAGTAAAAGGCAAATTATTGTGTGGACCATGGTCCACACAGTGTTATGTGGACCATTACACAAAGTACATTTTTAATATACTAAATGTACATTATTTTTGTACTGAATGTACATTATACAATATAATGTACACTCAGTACAAACATTATATACATCTCCTGAATACAATGTACATTATTTTCGTATTGAATGTACATTATTTTTGTACTGAATGTACATTATTTTACAGTATACAAAATATGGTCCACACAACTTGCGTAGACCATGGTCCACACAATAATGATTGTTATTAAACTCTTACTAATCAAGTACTACTAAAACTAATATTAGTATTAGTATTATTATTAAATCAAGATCAATGAATTATTGGACTCGCGGAATTTAAATTATAAAACAAAATTAATAAGTAAAACAACCTAAAAAAATAATATTAATAAAAATTACTTATAGCAAAAATAAATGAAAAAAAATAGATATAAATTAATCAATTATTGCAAATTAACCCAGACAAGATCGATAAAGAATAAAAAACCACAAATCGATCTTGAGCACTTAGCTTCTTCCTCTTTTCTCATTTCCAATCAATATCATGGCAAGAAAGAGATTAAGATTGACATATAATGTCAATAAATCAAAAAGAAAAGCATCCTACCAAAAAAGAGAGGGGTACGTGCTCAAAAAGCTCAATGAGCTCACCGTTCTTTGTGGTGCGGATGCTTTTTGAACACGTACCCCTCTCTTTATTTTTTATCACATGTGGTAGCATCCGCAATCTGCCGTACCAACCGGAATTTCTGCCACCAACGGAGAGTCTTTGTTCACTGCTACCGGAATTGGTCCGGGGCAAAATTGATGATCGGTGATGGAGATTTTCCTCCTTTTTATACTCCTTCATCGCAACTTCTTTTTCCGCACTTTCTCCCAACTATTGGAGACTCGCTCGCCAACGACCGAAGAAATTGCTCCGTGAGTTGCGATCTCCTTTTTCGCGTGGTGTTGACCGCGCTTTGTTCAATGATCCGAAATGTTGGCGCATACTAAAACTTTTATTAAATAACTTTCAGTTAAAACCTTAAATACATTATTAGAGTCCAAATATAACTAATCTACAATTATTAAACTCCTACTAATCAAGTACTACTAAAACTAATATTAGTATTAGTATTATTATAAAATTAAGATCAATGAATTATTAGACTCACGAAATTTAAATAATAAAACAAAATTAATAAGTAAAACAACCTAAAAATAAACAATATTAATAAAAATTACTTATAGCAAAAATAAATAAAAAATAGATATAAATTAATCAATTATTGCAAATTAACTATGAGAAGATTATTTAAAATAATACTAAAAATAATATTTATCAATATTACTGTAAAAAAAAAAAAATACAACCAATAATTTATTCAATTTACCTCATATATATCGTCTTATAAATATCAAATCATCTCAGCATGCATTATAACCCACACAAGATTGATACAGAATAAAAAACCACAAATCGATCTTGAGCACTTAGCTTCTTCCTCTTTTCTCATTTCCAATCAATATCATGGCAAGAAGGAGATTAAGATTGGCATATATTGTCAATCAATCAAAAAGAAAAGCATCCTACCAAAAAAGAAAGAGAGAGGTACTTGCTCAAAAAGCTCAATGAGCTCACCGTTCTTTGTGGTGCGGATGCTTTTTGAGCACGTACCCCTCTCTTTATTTTTTGGTAGGATGTTTTTCTTTTTGATTGATTGACAATATATGCCAATCTTAATCTCCTTCTTGCCTTGATATTGATTGGAAATGAGAACCAGGAAGAAGCTAAGTGCTCAAGATCAACATGTGGTTTTTTATTCTTTATCGATCTTGTGTGGGTTCTTTTGCGTGCTAAGATGATATGATATTTATAAGGCGACATATATGAGGAAAATCGAATAAATTATGGGATGTATTTTTTTTACAGTAATATTACACCCTGTCACGAATATTTTTTCCTAATAATATACATTATATGACTTATTATGGTTATTTTATTGATTTTTACTATTTAATCATTAAGCTAAGAGAATTCTATATTAAGAGTGATGCAAAATGTTCTCATTTTAAATTTACTTCTTAATATTATCATCTTGACGTGCAATTACTTATTTTAGTTTCATTTTTTATCACATGTGGTAGCTCGGTCAATTCTTGACACACACACAAAAAAACTTAACCTAAATTTGTTTGTTTTTTTTTTTTTTTTTTAAATGCTTAAAAATCAAATGATTTTTAATGTTGTTGATTTATAATCTTTGATGCTTAACTTTGAATGTTATGTAGTTAGGGATTTTTTGTGTGTGTGTCAAGAATTGACCGAGCTACCACATGTGATAAAAAATGAAACTAAAATAAGTAATTGCACATCAAGATGATAATAATAAGAAGTAAATTTAAAATGAGAACATTTTGCATCACTCTTAATATAGAATTCTCTTAGCTTAATGATTAAATAGTAAAAATCCAATAAAATAACCATAATAAAAAGTCATATAATGTATACTAGGAAAAAATATTCGTGACACGGTGTAATATTTGATAGACAATTTTAAATAGTACTTGCAAGTGCACGAATCACTATAGTAATAGTGTGCAAAGGCAAGGGCCGATCCCACAGAGAATTGATACAATGCAATTTAATAGCTTGAAATTAAATTAACTGACTTAACAATTTAATAATGATAAAAAACGAAGATTAAAGATAAGAATCAACTAAAGTGAAAGATAATTAAATTGAGATTCAAGAAGCAAAATAAATGAATCGTTAGGAACCGAAGAAATCAAATAACAATCAAGATGAGAAAGCCTAGGAACATGAATTAATAACCATTTACGATCAAAGTATAAAACATAATTCAATTGACAAAATTAAATTTAAATGATTACAAAACATTCATAACAATATCATTCCTTATTGGGAGATGAAGGATAGTAGAGGGGTATTTTTGTCTTTCTCCTACCCCGGTAGTTATAACCATCACTATTATAAGAATGGTCGGTTCTCCTCTTGAATAAGTTTTTTGTATCTTTCTTTTCATTCAAAACAGAATGGCACACTCCTTTTCTCTTCAACTATTTCGCTGACTTTACTTAATCGACATGGTATCAGAGTGCTTTCATCCTAGCTACTATGCCGCCGTCGTCACTGGTGGAGCAGGTCAGGAAGAGGATACCACTCCACCGCCAACTCAATCGCCGATCCACACGACTTTGTCGACGATTCCGCAGGAAAATCATATTCCACAAGTACAGAGGAGCTATGGTGCTGAGGATGTGGAGAATCCGTACCTATTTAGCACAAGTGATAGCAAGAACCTCATCCTTGTTAGTCCGCCATTGGTTGGCAGCTCCAACTACGGCTCATGGTGTATTTCCATGAGAATCGCCTTAGAGGTGAAAAATAAGTGGTGGATCATTGATAGTAGCGTTGCAGCGCCTAACAGAGAGGATAATCGATACGGACCTTGGAGACGATGTAATCTAATGCTGTGTTCGTGGATCTTCCGATCTGTGCACCCTTCCATTGCACAGAGTGTTATGCGTCTAGAAAGTTCCAGGGATGTTTGGAACGACTTGAAGAGACGTTTCGCGCAGTGTGATGCTCAGCGTATATCAGGATTACAAAACGATATCTACAGCTTGAAGCAGGGATCTCAGTCCATTAGCGATTACTATACGAAGTGCCGGACCATGTGGGAGGAGATGAACACTTTGAGGCCACTCCCGCTATGCATATGCGATCCAAGGTGTAGATGCGATCTAATCGACGAGATCAGGAAGGAGCGCGAAGTTGATTAGGTGAATCGCTTCCTTCAAGGTTTAAATGATGATTACAATGCTTTGAAATCTAATGTTCTTGTTTTGGATCCGTTACCGGAAGTCTACAAAATATATGTTATGGCTGAGAAATTAGAGATGCAGATTAGCTTGACGAAGTTAAACATAAACAACCTTGAGATCAGCCATGCTAATTCGATCCAAGCTACTGAGATGGTTCAGAATTCCACAGATGATTTGGTTGCTGCGATTAACACTTACAATGGTAAGAAGTACACAAACAATGGAGGAAGCAAACCTAAATGCACATTTTGCGGGACGATTGGACACACTAATGACAAGTGTTACAAAAAACACGGCTACCCCCCGGGGTGGGTGCCGAGCTTCAAATCCAAAGCCAAGCAGCTAGGAACAGCCTCTTTAGTGAATAATGTGACAGACCTAGGTGTCACAAGTGATCAGTTTCAAAAACTTATGGCAGCCATTCAGAATCAGATGAGACAACCTTCTAGTTTTCTGGTACTGCAGCATCTATTTCTCTAATTCCCAAGTTCAATGAGGACAACAGAGAAGGCAAGTCATCTATCCCTTATGTTAATTCTCTATGTCTGTGTAACTCAACATGGATTATAGATTCTAGAACCACTGATCACGTTGCATGTTCCCTTGAGACATTTGATGAGTATTATGTGGTTGAAAGGGATGAAGTTAGCCTGCCTACTAGGGAACGAGTTGCTATCAAACACAAAGGAAACATAAGACTTGAAAACAATCTTTGGCTAAAAGATGTTATGCACATACCATCATTCCAATTTAATATATTGTCTGTGAGCAAACTTCTCCAAGATACTTCATATAATCTGGTTTTTTCGTCTTGACAGTGCTTGATTCAGGAACCTCTTGGGATGACGGTTGGTTTAGCTAAACAGGAAAAAGGGTTGTACCTCATGATGAAGCCACCACTGAATTCCATTCTTGATCACAGGAAATTGGTTATGCAATGTAATAAAGTTGATATTTGGCATCAACATTTAGGACATTTTCCTATAAATAAATTGCATTTGCTTAAAGATATACCGAATGATAACGATTTGAACATTTCTGGCAGTAGCAGAATCTCAAAAATGGAATATCCATCAAATGGACATAAACAATGCGTTTCTCCACGGTGATCTTGATGAAGAAGTTTACATGGTGCTTCCCCCCTGGTTTTCAAGCAGAAAAGATTAATCAGGTTTGCAAATTAACAAGGTCTCTTTGTGGACTAAAGCAGGCAAGTCGGCAGCGGAACTCAAAATTAACTACTGCTCTGCTAAGCTATGGTTTTAAACAATCAAGTGCTAGTGGTAGGGGATTTGATTGGTCCTCCTTGCGGTTGATCGACGTTTAGTTTCCCCTACTTATGCTAAAATATTTTGATTTTATTTAAAGTAATTTCGAAGTGGCTAAACTAAACAAGTAGTTTTACTACAAGGGTGGTTATAGAGGTTTCTTAGCTTATCTTAAACGGAACTCATCTTCTTGATTTTCCTCTAGTGGATTTGCGTGATCCTCGTCTTCCGGGGTCATGTTTTCTTCGTTGAGATTACCCTCGTCCCCGAGTTCGGCTTGTGTGCGGCTCATGATGAATACTTTTCCGGGGGCACCGTGATTCCCTTGTTTCTAGTGCCTCCGTGCTGGCCCATGTTCGTGGGGCGCAAATTTGAGGGTTGTGGGCACTGGAAGGCCTTGTGTCCTTCTTTCCCACAGTTGAAGCACCGCCAGGGGTTCCCCATGCAGTCCCTGCCTCTATGGCTTTGGTTGCATTTTGGGCAAGGGAAGCCCCCTGTATTGGCTTCGTTGTTTCTTGGGGGCGGTCTTGGTCTAGTTGGGTTGTTTGGCCTTGGGTTGGTGTCGGTTCTTGTTCTCTTTATCGGTGGTGCCCCTCCTCCTGCGTTCCTTTTTCGAATTTGATCTTGAACTCCACGTTGTAGTAGTTGGATTCGGTAGAGGTTGGCAGCACTGGAGTAAGCCTCGTTGAGGATCCGGGGCCCGCTTACTACTAGTGCCTTCCGGGCTTCGAAGTTGAGGCCCGATACGAACCTTTCTATTTTAGTTTGTTCTGTGGGGACTAACTCTGGCGCGAAGCGTGCCAGTTCGAGGAACCGCTTATGGTATTCTGTGATGGTAGCAGTTCCTTGCTTTAGGTGGAGGAACTCTTCGTGCATAGAGGCTTTTAAGTGTGTTGGGTAGAATCGTTCTCGCAGGCGTGTTTTCAGATTTTCCCAGTTGAATCCTGGTTCTTTCCTGTAAGTGGGTCCCTCGTGGATCCACCAGAGGTCTGCCTCGTGTCCGAAGTAGAACGAGGCTATCTCTACACGACGCTCTTCTGGGCATTCTACCAACCCCAGAATCTTGTCGAAGGTCTATATCCATTCTTCGAGGACGGCGGGATCTTCTTCCTCTGAGAACGTGGGTGGTCGATGGTTTGAAACCTGTCGGGCGATTTCTGAGTTTGCGTTCGTTGGTGGTCTGTTGTTGCGGAGGGCTACGTCGCTTAGTGCTTGGGCGACTTGGGTGAGTTGCTGTAGGGTTTGAGCCAGGGGGTCGTGTGTGGTGGATTCCGGAGTTCTTGATTGCCTTCTGTTTGGTGCCATGTTGCTTGATCTATAGAGCCAATGTTTATAGTGGTTTAGAGGGTTGCACTCTTACCTCGGTATGATAAGCGAAGGGGTTTATTTAAATTTAGGGGGGGGGGGATAACGTGAGGGGAGGTTATGTGTAGGTTTCACAATCTCACCGCGCGTCCTAAGACTTCTGGGTCCTATGTTCCTAAATTCCTAGAGTTTAAGCCTAATGTCCTAAGGTCTGGTCTTAAGAGTCTTATCCCAGGGTCAAACTTAGGCTCTGATACCAACTGTAACACCCCGAAATTTTGGAACTTTTAAAACTTATATAAGAAAGATAAATCCTCATTAAATCCCGAAATATAATATGAGAGTATGGGGTGCTATGCCACACCTGAGCTAGAGAACCCAGGTGCACAGGCAAACTAACTAAAATCCTCAATACTGTCAATTCATAAGCATGGCACGCAGGCCGAAAGGGGAACTAGCTATCCTACGCTCCAAATCTCTAGCGCGCTCTAGTGTCTACTCATCTGTGCCTGAAAGCCAAATATATCTGTTCAGCGAGAGATGCTGGTAACCCACTCCAACGGGTTGAAAAACAATGTAGGTATATATATATATATATATATATATATATATATATATATATATATATATATATATATATATATATATATATATATATATATAGGAAAACCACTTTGAAGCAAGAAGATATATATACTTAGGGGACTCTAGATTTTAAAACCGGGAATAGACTCAACAAGTATAAGCACATCAAACAGTAATAGATAGTTAAGTAGAGATAACATCATAAGGGATACGCATTAAAGGTCACATTTCATTTTTCAATTCTATCACATCATCCTTCAACCATCATTCATAGCACATAATCGATGATGGCGCCACGGGACCAATTGCATGCCCCGAACATGAGGGTTAATGCTTATAGCATTAACACGGGCCTGTAGCACCCTACCTCAGTACCGTGGTATGAGGGGAGTTGATCGCAACCAACCCTTTGAGAACCGCTGACGAACTCAACGTCGGATCGCTATCTGACACACCGCTGACGCACCCAGTCGGTGGACCGCGATCCCCTTTACAAGGGGGGACTTACGAACCTACACACCGTTGATGCGTACATCTGGTGGACCATAGCGGATCAAGCCCGACACACCGCTGAGCTGTACTTAGTCGGTGGGCGAAGATCCTCGGAGACTATGGCCCTACACACCGCTGTCCCATCACTCGGTGGATCGCAGCCAGCCATAGCCCTACACACCGCCTGAGTATTCAGATCGGTGGACTACAGTCTTCCTCGGCTTATTGGCCATACACACTGCCCTGGCGCGTTCAGGTCGGTGGGTCATAGCACCGAGGCCCATGTGGACCGCAGCCCAAGAAGTGAATCACTGACCACAGCCAGGAGGATGAACTGCAGCTCATAGACAATCAATTCGGCCTTCAGCCAACTTCCGAACCGCAGCCCGGGAACACCCCATTTGATCGCAACCAAATTGGGGGATCATGCATCACATAACACACAGTAGCACGTAGTAGCACATTGGGAGGGGAAGACATATAAATAAACTTACGTGTGATCATTCACATACTAAGAATAGTCCTAAGGGGTTCATACCACTTCTAACTAGGTCAACGGGTTACCGATTCAACTAGCATGCAATTACTAAGACTTGCTTATCTTACGAATGGTACCCAAAATATCAAACTAGACTCAAGCACGACAAACAGGGTCCGTTAGGACACCACAAGGAGTGGGGAACATCAAACGGGGAAGCCGAAGACCCGGGGTGGGGTACGGACCAGCGGGTTGCCGGCGGGCGAACGCCTGCCCGGCACCTGCCCGCTGCCCGACGGTGATCTTCGGGCAGCGGGTAGGTGGCGGGTACCCCTACCCCCACCTACCCCCCACTGACTCATTCATCACAATTTCGTCCCGGGATCCTTTGTGGAACCCGAAACCATGCTTAGACACTTTTAAACGCAAATAACGACACCACGTAGGCAATTACCGGATCAAAAGCAAGAATCACTTATGACTCATCCTATTACGACTTCTAAGTATAAACAACACCCGAACATGCAAATTCCCACCCGAATATATATCAAGAAAATCCCAACACAAATTCGCAATCCAACCTAGGGCTCTAATCCCCCCCAAATCATTAAGATCCTATTTTATCTTTATCATCAAGAAATATCAAGATTCGTTAAGAATCGTCATGCCAAAATCAAGCACTTCTTTTCAACACCAATATCATCAAGATTATCAAGAAGGCACATAAATCATCTTATCAATCATCGAGAACATAACACAATTATCGTAGAAGAATTCATCAAGACATAAGAATATAGAGGGAGGCTAAGGAAGGAGATTATAGCGAAGAAAATAGGATTTGTTGAGACATGGGTTACCTTTTAGCCTTAATTAATTTCCTTGGCTATGAAGGGTCTTTCTTTAAGCTTTCTTCTTTCTTGATTTATCCTAAGGGGATTCTTGGAACTTCTTGTGTGGTGAGAGTCTATTGTGGTGTAAGTTCTAGGTGCCTCTTATGACCCTCTATATATACATCTACTCCTAAGAGCCCTAATTGGGGTCTAAATACTATGGGCTTGTTAATTCTATTCCTTATAGGACTAAGGAGTTGGTTATAGGGATGTGGGCCCATGGACTATGGTTGACCTTTCTTAGTTGATTAATAGGTTTTTAATTCTCTTTTTAGGGTAAGTGATTAAATATTTAGTTGGGGTTAGGGGTCGTAACACGGGGTGTTACACTCCAGCTTATTGGGGGGGGGGGGGGGGGATTTGGGAGATGAAGGATATTATAGCGGTATTTTTGTCTTTCTTCTACCCCGGTAGTTATAAACGTCACCATTATAAGAATGGCCGGTTCTCCTCTTGAATAAGTTTTTTGTATCTTTCTTTTCATTCAAAACAGAATGGCACACTCCTTTTCTCTTTAACTATTTCGCTGTCACGAATATTTTTCCCTAATAATATACATTATATCACTTATTATGGTTATTTTATTGATTTTTACTATTTAATCATTAAGCTAAGAGAATTCTATATTAAGAGTGATGTAAAATGTTCTCATTTTAAATTTACTTCTTAATATTATCATCTTAACGCGCAATTACTTATTTTAGTTTCATTTTTTATCACATGTGGTAGCTAGGTCAATTCTTGACGCACACAAAAAAAAACTTAATATAGAATTCTCTTGGCTTAATGATTAAATAGTAAAAATCCAATATAATAACCATAATAAGTCATATAATGTATACTAGGAAAACATATTCGTGACACGGTGTAATATTTGATAGACAATTTTAAATAGTCCTCGCAAGTGCACGAATCACTATAGTTATAGTGTGCAAAGGCAAGGGTCGATCCCACAGAAAATTGATACAATGCAATTTAATAGCTTGAAATTAAATTAACTGACTTAACAATTTAATAATGATAAAAAACAAAGATCAAAGATAAGAATCAACCCAAGTGAAAGATAATTAAATTGAGATTCAAGAAGCAAAATAAATGAATCGTTAGGAACCAAAGAAATCAAATAACAATCAAGATGAGAAAGCCTAGGAACATGAATTAATAACCATTTACGATCAAAGTATAAAACATAATTCAATTGGTAAAATTAAGCTTAAATGATTACAAAACATTCATAACAATATCGTTCCTTATTCGGAGATGAAGGATAGTAGAGGGGTATTTTTGTCTTTCTCCTACGCCGGTAGTTATAACCGTCACCATTATAAGAATGGTCGGTTCTCCTCTTGAATAAGTTTTTTGTATCTTTCTTTTCATTCAAAACAGAATGGCACACTCCTTTTCTCTTCAACCATTTCGCTGAGTTTACTTCATCGACATGGTATTAGAGCGCTTTCATCCGAGCTCCTATGTCGCCGTCGTCACTAGTGGAGCAGGTCAGGAATAGGATACCACTCCACCGCAAACTCAATCGCCGATCCACACGACTTTGTCGATGATTCCGTAGGGAAATCCTATTACACAAGTACAGAGGAGCTATGGTGCAGAGGATGTGGAGAATCCGTACCTATTCAGCACAAGTGATAGCACGAACCTCATCCTTGTTAGTCCGCCATTGGTTGGCAGCTCAACCTACTGCTCATGGTGTATTTCCATGAGAATCGCCTTAGAGGTGAAAATTATGTGGTGGATCATTGATAGTAGCGTTGCAACGCCTAACAGAGAGGATAATCGATACGGACCTTGGAGACGATGTAATCTAATGTTGTGTTCGTGGATCTTCCGATCTGTGCATACTTCCATTGCACAGAGTGTTATGCATCTAGAAAGTTCCAGGGATGTTTGGAACGACTTGAAGAGACGTTTCACGCAGTGTGATGCTAAGTGTATATCAGTATTACAAAACGATATCTACAGCTTGAAGCAGGGATCTCAGTCCATTAGCGATTACTATACGAAGTGCCGGACCATGTGGGAGGAGATGAACACTTTGAGGCCACTCCCGCTATGCAAATGCGATCCAAGGTGTATATGCGAAATTAGAGAGGCAGATCAGCTAGACGAAGTTAAACATAAACAACCTTGAGATCAGCCATGCTAATTCGATCCAAGCTACTGAGATGGTTCAGAATTACACAGATGATTTGGTTGCTGCGATTAACACTTACAATGGTAAGAAGTACACAAACAATGGAGGAAGCAAACCTAAATGCACATTTTGCGGGACGATTGGACACACTATTGACAAGTGTTACAAAAAGCACGGCTACCCCCGGGGTGGGTGCCGGGCTTCAAATCCAAAGCCAAGCAGCAAGGAACAGCCTCTGTGGTGAATAATGTGACAGACCTAGGTGTCACAAGTGATCAGTTTCAAAAACTTATGGCAGCCATTCAGAATCAGATGAGACAACCTTCTAGTTTTCTGATACTGCAGCATCTATTTCTCTAATTCCCAAGTTCAATGAGGACAACAGAGAAGGCAAGTCATCTATCCCTTATGTTAATTCTCTATCTCTGTGTAACTCAACATGGATTGTAGATTCTAGAGCCACTGATCACATTGCATGTGGTTGAAAGGGATGAAGTTAGCCTTCCTACTAGGGAACGAGTTGCTCTCAAACACAAAGGAAACATAAGACTTGAAAACAATCTTTGGCTAAAAGATGTTATGCACATACCATCATTCCAATTTAATATATTGTCTGTGAGCAAACTTTTCCAAGATACTTCATATAATCTGGTTTTTTTTCGTCAGGACAGTGCTTGATTCAGGAACCTCTTGGGATAACGGTTGGTTTAGCTAAACAGGAAAAAGGGTTGTACCTCATGATGAAGCCACCACTGAATTCCATTCTTTATCACAGGATATTGGTTATGCAATGTAATAAAGTTGATATTTGGCATCAACGTTTAGGACATTTTCCTATAAATAAATTGCATTTGCTTAAAGATATACTGAATGACAATGATTCGAACATTTCTGGCAGTAGCAGAATCTCAAAAATGGAATATCCATCAAATGGACATAAACAATGCGTTTCTCCACGGTGATCTTGATGAAGAAGTTTACATGGTGCTTCCCCCTGGTTTTCAAGCAGAAAAGATTAATCAGTTTTGCAAATTAACAAGGTCTCTTTGTGGACTAAAGCAGGCAAGTCGGCAGCGGAACTCAAAATTAACTACTGCTCTGCTAAGCTATGGTTTTAAACAATCAAGTGCTAATTCCTCTCTCTTTACAAGAATTGAAGAACTCACCGAATGCAGCTTTTAAAATTAAGGACTTGGGGTCCCTAGGCTATTTTCTAGGCATGGAAGCAAAGATCAGTGACAATGGTTTGAATATTTGCCAAAGGAAATATGCACTGGATATACTCAATGATACATTGTTTCTTGATTGCAAACCAATAAACACTCCCATGATGCCAGGCTTTCTCTTATCCAGTAATGATGGTACACCTCTGAGTGATCCAAGCAGCTACCAGAGGTTGATAGGAAGATTGTTGTACCTTACAGCCACTAGGCCCGTAATTACGTATGATGTACATCATCTAAGCCAGTTCGTGAGTGCCCGCACGGACAGACACATGGCTGCGTCTCACCGCATACTCTGCTATATAAAATCATCTCCAGGAAAGGGCCTATTCTACCCAACATCGAATAGGACCCTTAGCGTCAAAGGGTTTTTTGATTCTGATTGGGCACCATGTACTGAAGCACGCAAGTCTATAATGGGATTCTGCATTTTTCTTGGCACCTCTCTTGTTTCGGGGCGATAAAAAAAACAAGCAACCGTATCCAAATCTTCATCCGAGGCAGAATACTGCGCCCTTGCTAGGATAGCGTGTGAAATGCAATGGCTAACCAGTTTACTCCAGGATTTGTGTATAAACATAAGCAGCCCTGCAGTGGTTTACGGTGATAGTAAATCAGCTATAGCAATAGCAGAGAATTTCGTCTTTCACGAGAGGACCAAACACATCTTGATCGATTGTCATATAATAAGGGAAAGGGTGGCTCAGGGACTAATCAAGTTGCTCTCGGTTGATTCCATCAACCAAGTTGCTGATGGTTTTACAAAACCTCTAGCCTCTTCTCTGTTCAACGTTTTTGTGTCTAAGATGGGTGATCAAAGTTTGCACACTCCAGCTTATTGGGAGGCGGGGGGGGGGGGGGGGGGGGTAATGGGAGATGAAGGATAGTAGAGGGGTATTTTTGTCTTTCTCCTACCCCGGTAGTTATGACCGTCACCATTATAAGAATGGCCGGTTCTCCTATTGAATAAGTTTTTTGTATCTTTCTTTTCATTCAAAACAGAATGGCACACTCCTTTTCTCTTCAACCATTTCGCTGACTTTACTTCATTGACATTCCTAGAAGAACAATTTTGCAAAGCATACTAAAATGTTAAATGAAATTGAGATTAACAACGATTGAGGAAATAAGTTTTGTATTTGATTATTATTCACAGAAGAGATGATACAGTATTTATATCCATAGACTAGCACAATAAGAGGAAGATATCTAAAGAATAGCACCTAACCTGCATGAGAAACTAACAACCTAATACACCCCCCTCAAGCGGACGGTGGTGTAGAGACAACGCCCAGCTTGAAACGGAGGTCATTAAAACGAGCAGTAGAAAGAGGTTTGGTGAAGATATCTGCTAGTTGATCATGCGTGGATACAAAGTTGACCTTCATGGCGCCAGTCGAGACCTTGTCACGGACGAAGTGGTAATCAACTTCGACATGCTTTGTTCTGGCGTGAAATACGGGATTTGAACAGAGGTATGTTGCACCGAGGTTGTCGCACCATAGAACCGGGGTAGTAGGACACTGCAAGCCAAGATCCTGTAGCAAAGACTGAACCCAAACTACCTCAGCAGCGACATCGGCTAGAGCTTTATACTCAGCCTCTGTTGAGGACCGCGCCACAGTCCGTTGCTTCCTGGAAGACCATGACAGTAGGTTGGGACCAAAAAACACTACATAGCCGGCCGTTGACTTCCGATCAAGAGAGCAACCAACCCAGTCAGAGTCGGAGAAGGCATGCACAACCGGAGCTGACGATGCTGTTAGACGAAGGCCGAGGTGGAGCGTACCCTTGACATAACGCAGGACGCGTTTAACTGCAGCCCAATTATCTTGCGTTGGGTTGTGCATAAATTGGCATAGCCGGTTCACCGCAAACGATAAGTCTGGATGAGTAAGGAGCAGATACATAAGTGAACCAACCAGTTGGCGATAAACGCTGGGATCCTCTAATGGTGAAGACTCTCCAGAAGCATCCGCCGTAGCATTAGTCATCGGTGTGGCAAGAGGTTTGCAAGACTCCAGTCCTGCTTTGCGAAGCAGCTCAGTCATATACCGATGTTGAGACAAGACAACGGCATCGGCGGTGTAGACAGCTTCCACACCAAGAAAGAATCTGGGCTTTCCATGATCACGAATTTTGAACGTGGTAGCCAGTTGCGTCAGCACAGAGTCGACCTTTGAGGCAACATTTCCTAGTAAAAGTATGTCATCGACATATACCAGGATATAGATGCGGACCTGCCCTGTATTATAGATAAACAGCGACACATCCGTTTTTTACGGTCGAAACCCAATGTTCACCAGGAAGGTATGTAACCTTGTAAACCAAGCGCGAGGGGCCTGTTTGAGGCCATATAGTGACCGCTGTAGCTTGCAGACATGAGTGGGGTAGGTAGGGTCGACATAACCCGGGGGTTGCCGCATGTAGATGTCTTCCGAAATGTGACCATTTAGGAACGCATTATGGACATCTAGCTGCCGCATGACCCAGCTGTTGGAGACGGCAAAGGATAGTAAGAGACGGATGGTAGTCAGTTTGACTACAGGGCTGTATGTCTCAATGTAGTCGATGCTTGGGATCTGATTAAATCCTTTGGCAACTAGATGCGCCTTGTAGCGGTCAATCGAACCATCGGATTTTCGCTTAACGCGATACACCCACTTGCTACCTATTACATTCATAGTGTTTACAAAGGGAATTAATGACTAAGTATTATTTTGCAGGAGAGCATTAAACTCGGCATCCATAGCAGCGCGCCAATGGGGCGATTTCACAGCCTGTGAAAGGCACGTTGGCTCATCGTCGTCGACGGAGGCGACCAAGGCATGCGGGGGGCGACGCTGTTGGTGCGTTGTCATCCGTAGTTGCATGCCATGGGTCCGCGTGGGGGAGCGTTTCCTCCATCTCCTCACTGTTGTAGTTGATGAGGTGGAAGGCTGAAAGGATGAAGATGCGTCGCCAGCCGATGAGGACGACTGCAAGACGCGAACCGGTAGTGCGCCACTCTCTGCCGGCAGAAGTGGTGGTGGTCCCGGTGGCTTGGTCTGAACACCGGATGTAGAAGGCTGTATGATTTGCGCACTGGCCCAGGGCAGCATAGTGATTCCGGTAGAGTGGCCTAGAATGGGATCATCAGCACCATGAAATGGGAAGACATCCTCGTTGAACTTGACATGTCGAGCAATGTATATTCGCCCAGTGGCCCTGTCCAAACACCTGTAACCACTAAAAGCATCGGGGTACCCCAAAAAAACACACGGAATAGACCGATAGTCCATCTTGTGACTGTTATAGGGCCTTAGATACGGGAAACATTGACACCCAAAAACACGAAGCATTTTGTAGTTTGGTGACTTTTGGAAAAGACGAGTGTAAGGACTGTCATTTTGTAAGACTGGGGTCGGCATTCGATTAATTAAATAGACTGCCGCCTCGAAGGCAAACGACCAATACTTCTTTGGGACGTAACTGTGAGCTAACAAAGACAAGCCTGTTTCCACAACATGACGATGCCTTCGTTCAACAAGGCCATTCTGTTCATGTGTGTGTGGGCATGACTGTCTATGCAAAATGCCTGCGGAGGTAAATACAGAGTGTAATTTGTTGTATTCACCACCGAGGTCCGACTGAATACTTTTAATAGGTGTTGAGAAGTGTTTTTCTACAAACGTACGAAACAAAGTAAAAATAGAATAAACGTCGGTTTTATTTTTCATAGGGTAGTACCACATATATCTTGAGTAATCGTCCACAAATAGGACGAAGTATTTAAAACCGTCAATCGAGGTAACCGATGATGGCCCCCAAATGTCGGTGTAAATTAACTCTAGGACACATTTGGTAGAATGTTTTGTTTGTGACAGCGGGAGTCGTGCTGACTTGCCCATTTGACATGACTGACATACATTATTAGCTGAACGCAACGAGCCACTGACGGGGCAACTAGACAAGACTTGACTGAGAACCCGGAAATGCGGGTGGCCAAGCCGATTATGCCAGATTTGCGGAGACGCTTTATCAGACAGGAAAGCAACCGGGGCTGGGAAACTGAGAGTGTACATACCCCCCATGCTAGGACCTTTAAGTAGTATTTGGTTGGTGAGACAGTCCTTCACAAAAAAAATGAAACGGGTGAAATTCAAAATAAACCTTGTTGTCCTGTGTAAATTTCTGGACGGATAATAAATTAGCACATAATTTTGGAACATGAAGTATTTTAGTAAGTGACAGTGATCGTAACGGGGATGGAATTGACACGCAACCTGTATTGAGAATGGACAAACCTGTGCCATCCCCGACTCTCAGATTCTCGTTACCCGTATAAGGCTCAGTTTCACGTAGAATGGTGGCATTTGGTGTAGCATGAGCATTGGCTCCTGTATCTGGAAGCCAAACATTAGAAAATGGCGCAGAACTGAAATCATCCTGGGGCTGGTTACATGCTATATTGGCAGTGGGCACAGGTTGATGATTATAACTCCCAGCTGGCGGAGCTGCATTGTGACCGGAGACATTGGCATAGCGCTGGTAGCAAGTTAAGGCTGTGTGACCGGGGATGTCACAAATTTGGCATCTAATAGCTCCACGACCACGATGTCCCCTACCCCTCTGTCCGCGATGATTTCGGCCACGTCCGCGGCCATTACTCGCAGGGATGTAAGCCGGTGGTTGCTGAACCAGTAGAGCCGCCGGCGAGGGAGGTGCTGAAGTCGCAAGCTTGTCTGGAAACAAATAACTATGCGTGGATGGCAGATCGGCGACCTCCGATATTGTTAAAGGAGTGGCCTTTGTTGTCAAGGAAGCAGCCAAACCACGATATTCCGGACGAAGTCCCCGGAATATATGGAGGTTTTGTTCGTCGAGGCTGACTGGTCGGCCGGCCTGCGCTAGTTGTTCGACAAGTATTTTAGCCCGTCCAAGATACTCTGATGGGGTGGAATCGCCCTGATGGAGATTGTGCAGCTGTGACAGAAGACCCAGAGACCTTGCTCGTGAGGAAGACCAGAGGGCAGATTCCAGCGACATCTACACAGCTCGCGACGTTGAGTGACCGATCGCAAGATACAGTGTCTCCTCGGCAAGGGAAGAAATCAGCATGCTTAGAATGGATTGGTCTTGTTGAATCCATTGAGCATGACGATGATTGGTGGCCGGCGGCGCGTCGGAGGAAGATGCAGCAACAAATTTCGGCGGGCACGCGGTTGTGCCGTCTACGAATCCATATAGGTTTTGCCCACGTAAAAAGGGAACTAGCTGCGCTCTCCAAAATAAATAATTTGTGGCAGTCAGCTTGATGGACACGTAGTGTTGAGCTTGATGAAGCATATTTGGGGAGGAGGGGGGTTTGATCGGAGGTGTCTGGGGTGACAGCAGCAAGAGCCCTGTCAGATGAAACTGCCGGTGCATCATTTGCAGCAGGCGGGGAGTTGTTGTTTGAAGTGGTGGCCATAGGATCAAAAATGGCTAGGCTGATACCAGATTGAGGAAATAAGTTTTGTATTTGATTATTATTCACAGAAGAGATGATACAGTATTTATATCCATAGACTAGCACAATAAGAGGAAGATATCTAAAGAATAGCACCTAACCTGCATGAGAAACTAACTACCTAATAACAACAATTAACCCTAAACATCTTCTAGATAAAGATTATAAATATTGATTACAGTGCAAAAGCTTTGAAACGCAACCAGGAGACAAACTCTTCATCAGAACAATATCACCAATAAATTAAGCATAATTAATTCATGATTTGCTTTAGAAGCATAACACAGATTCCAAAGATGTGAAATAAAAAGGTAAAAGGTAGGAAAATGAAGAAAGTAAAAGAATTGCTTATGCCACTACTGCTGCGCCAAAAGATGAATCACACGCCTAGACCTTGCCGTTACCGCAATCAGCCATACCTACCGGAATTTCTGCTGCCAACGGAGAGTCTTTGTTCACTGCCATCGGAATTGGTTCTGGGCAAAATTGATGATCGGTGATGGAGATTTTCCTCCTTTTCATACTCCTTCAGCGCAACTTCTTTTTCCGCACTTTCTCCCTGCTATTGAAGACTGCTCGCCAACGACCGAAGAAATTGCTCCGCGAGTTGCGATCTCCTTTTTCGCGTGGTGTTGACCGCGCTGTGTTCGATGATCCGAAGTTGTTGGCGCATACTAAAACTTCTATTAAATAACTTACAATTAAAAGCTTAAATACATTATTTGAGTCCTAATATAACTAATCTACAATTATTAAACTCCTACTAATCAAGTACTTCTAAAACTAATATTAGTATTAGTATTATTATTAAATTAACATCAATGAATAATTGGACTCACGGAATTTAAATAATAATAAAAAATTAAATAGTAAAACAACATAAAAATCAACAATATTAATAAAAATTACTTATAGAAAAAATAAATAAAAAATTGATATAAATTAATCAATTATTGCAAATTAACTACGAAAAGATTATTTAAAATAATACTAAAAATAATGTTTATCAAATCTCCCCACACTTATTTATTTGCTTGTCCTCAAGCAAAAGCATTGTTAAAAGGGAATAAACAAAATTAAAAACAAAATCAAACATTAAACTGAGCTTTAACCGAATAGGCTTTCACATTTATTGATCTCAATGCAAGGTTAGTGTCAACTCAAAGAGTGCATAAAACAGTCGACTAAAAATTAAAAACTTTAACAACTAAAATAAATATAAAATGTGTGCTCGTGTGCTGACACCCCTTATATGAACTATATAAAAACACAATAGAAAAATATGAAAATTTCACCAAATTCAACCTAAACCAAATTCAGAAATATTCTACCACAGTGCAGGTGCAAAACATGAATGAAATAAGGATCAAGGCATTTATTAAAATTGAAATGCAATTTCTTGTCTCTTCCAAAGTTAACTCATTATTTTTCTATTTTGACTTTTTTCAAAGAGAACTTTCCCAAAAACCTCGTCATTTTACGCCACACTTGTTTGGGTTTTCAATTTTGTGTGTACTCATAAACCAGATCACGACACTTATTTATTTATGGTACATGTGTAGGTGGCTGTTTCAGCGGACTAGAATCTCTGAGATTAAAGCAAATAAAATATAATGAATAAATAAATAAGACACTCTCATTTATTTTAAAAAATATTTTTTAAATACTTTTTTTAAAAGATTTTTCACATCACTTATGCCACAAATATGATCCTTGAACCAACACACTACACCACAATTTATAGCACTCAAAAATTATTTAAGAATTTGAAAAAGGTAATATAAAGTGAAAGATACATATAAACTTCTAAAGAAATTGTATAGAACACATAAAGGTATTTGTGATTTTTAAATTCTATATTTTTTTTCTTTTTGTTTTTTTTTGGGTTTTTTTTTTGTTTTTTTTTGTTTTTTTTTTTTTTTTTGACAAAGTTATTCAAAATATAAAGAAATTAACAACTAGCCACATGCAATATACTCACTAAGAGTTGACAAAAATATGCATTATTTCTATCAACGAATATTTAAAAGACTCATAAGGGTAAATCTCAACTAAGGCTAGAATTCTAATATAAGAAGGTTTAAGAAAATGTACATAAGAAAATTAAAATGTTTGAAATTTTTTATTTTTTTCTGATTTGTGGGTGAAACCCCTTCCCCACACTTATTTCCAACATTGTCCCCAATATTGTGAGATGAAAGAAAATAAGACAAAGAAAGTCATCCTTTATTAGACTTTTTATTTGTGGAATTCTCATTTAGCCCTGCAATTTTAGAATAACAGGAAGAAATCGATTTATCAACGCCATTCAAAAGATATTCTTTTTGGAGTTTATCGAACTCCAACGTACCATCTTCTGCAAAATTCAACCCCTTAACTGCAAATCGATGGTTAGATCTTTCAGACAAATGCATAGATGTAAAAATGGGAACCTCAACAGTTTCATTAAGCACATTGTTGGTCAATTTGTTTGCTTGAACATCAATAGGGACTGGGGGCAAATAAAGCTTGTGAGGCACATAAGGATTATCAGATTTATGCAATTGATGCTCATTTTCAACAATAATTTCATTAGCTTCATCGTTCAATTTTTCAATCATTTCAGTTTGTTTAAACGTGATATTATCTATTAACTTGGTTTCATCATTCAGAGCATCCTCAGGTTGACTAGGTAACTTACCTGGCACATGCCCTTGCCCAAATTTAACAATTTTCTCTAAATGTGCTTCCAATCTTTTAAAGCAAGTCTCGTTTTGTTCACCTGCTTCTTGGGGCTCATAAGCTTCTTGTTGCATCTGCAACCATTGATCATGTTCTTCTTGTTGCTTTTGAAACCGTTTATCATTTGCTTCTTGTTGCTTCTTGGTGGCCTGTATGTACTCCTGCAGGATATCTTCCAACGATGGTTTTTTAAGTTGGGGTGACTTAACTGGTTGAAAATCATTTTGACTATTACCCCAATAAAAATTAAGATGACTAAGTTGAAAATCTTTTTGATCATCATCCCAAAAATTAAGATGACTTGATTGAAAATTATTTTGATTATAATCACAATAAAAATTGGGATGACTTGGTTGAAAATCACTAGGTTGATTTGGTTGAAAATCATTTTGTTTATCATCCCAAAAATTAGAGTGATTTTTCCAACCCGAATTATAAGAATTATAAAACGGGTCATGCACATGCCGTTGATTAAAATCATTCATTGGACATACCTGTCAAAAACCATTATTAAAAGGATTATTTTGGTTTGACAAAAAAGAGTACATATTAAAATGTAAAATTTTTCAAATATTTGTGTGATTAAGAATGAAAAAGAATTTTGAGAAAGTAGAATGGACTAATGAATCAAATAAATGAGCAAGATTAAATTGAAGGAAAAAAACAAATGACAATAATAATAAAGAGATTGGAAAAAACAATTCAACTAATAAAGGGAACAGGGAAATAAAAACAAATATAAAGCAATGTTTATATAGACGAATGAATTAAATAAAATGCAAGATTAAAAATGAAAACGATGACAATAATGAAGGGATAGCGAAAATAAAAATAAAAAAATCAAGCACTTTAGGAAAGAAAAAGAACACAACAAATTAAATTTCAAAATAATCAATTTCCCGGTGTAATTTTGCATTTCCTCATTTTTAATCAGATTAACTGGATTAACCAACTGATGAAATGGACTGACTGATTCAGCGATGAAGTCAGTCAGTAAAACAAATCATAGAGATGTTTAAAGAAAGAGATAACAGCACAAAGCAAAACACAAGATGTTTACCCAGTTCGATACAGTGTGTATCTACGTTTGGGGGACGATCACATAGGCGTCCAATCTACTTAATCATAATCCAATGTACAATGGTAGAGAAACAATAATCTCACCCATGTGCCCCACACAAGGTACGTACCCAGTCTACAGAGGTTTAGTGGACTGTTGAAGGTGGAGAGCCATGCATACAAAAGTCCAATGAAATCCCTTCACTTGGAGAGCCAACTCTGATGCAGTCCACATCAATGACGCTCTTTACAGTTGTTCCCACAACAGTGTGATCGTATTGTCCTTTCGTTTAAGCAGCAGTGATTCTTCTCAAGTTCTTCATCTTAATCACCATGAACATGTTGTATTGAGAAGAGGCATAGTAATCAAAGATCTGATCTCATAAAAACTGATAAGGAGTGTTTCTTCTCTCTTGAAATCATAACCCTAATTCTCGTTGAATGAGGATACTTATAGTTCCATAGTTAGAACACTCTCTTCATAGATATCTTTGATTGTAGATGGTAGGACAATATTTGAAGAATGTAATCTTAAAGATTCGGTCCATAACTTTCCAAGACATATACGCTGATCTTCTTTCCAAAGCTGTCTTCTGTAAAACCGCGTACAGCTTTTAAGTAAACAGCTTCCTAAAACAGATCTTCAGTGTCAGTCCTTCTGTTGTTGTACTTAATTGATCAGTCCGCTATAGAAAAAATTGACACTAAGCTATTCTTATCTTAGTATGCCATAATAATATTGCCAATTATAAGTTGGGGTTTTTTGAGCAATTAAAACACTAACAAACTCCCCCTTTGGCTATTATTTGGAAAAACAACTCGACTACGTATAAAGACTCAAAATGACAGAACTAAGATAGGCTAACATAAAACCCAATCAAAAATCTGATTACAAAGCATAGCGGAAATAAAAAAACACAGCATACAGGTCATGTTGGATTAAAAACAACAGTCAAAAAAACATTTTTCCAAAAAAAATGGCATCACAATCAAACGCCCAACCAGGGCCAGAAGGTGCACAAAACCATAAACCATAAACACTCCCCCTGAGTTCATACTCCCCCTTTTTGCCAATGAGAGCCAAAGCATGGTCAAGCATTGGAGAGAGTCTCACTGTCAGACTTTGCAGGTTCAGCAGCAACAGCCTCAGACAGGCTTAAACGAAGAAGAATAGTGGCCAATTCTGTGCGAGCCCCTGTCAGCTGTTTTGCAATTATGCCATGAACCGTCTCGAGCTCAGAGACTCTGGCCTTCAACTGGATAGAAAGTTGGAGATTCCTTGCATGCGGAAAATCATCCGCCATTATATCAGCTTCAGAATTGGAGGGGGCAATCACCGGTGTAACATCACAGATATGATCTCCAGTCAAGAGACGTCGGTCAACCGTATAGAGAAGTGTCGGATTGATCACCTCACTAGCCGTAGGCTCAAGGCCCTGTGATGTAAGGATTCCAAAAATCAAATTTGGAAAGGGCAGTCGTACCTTTTGTTCTCTTGGGTGAATCATTGTGAGAATGTGATAGTAAATCCACGACCCCAGATCAATGGACATCTTTGTGCCAATTCTGAACAAGAGACTGGCCAACTGCTTGCCAACAGTATGGAAATGAGCCGAAGGGAGTGTAACACCCCGTGTTACGACCCCTAACCCTAACTGAATATTTAATCATTTACCCTAAAAAGAGAATTAAAAACCCATTAATCAACTAAGGAAGGTCCACCATAGTCCATGGCTCACATCCCTATAACCAACTCCTTAGTCCTATAAAGAATATAATTAGCAAGCCCATAGTATTTAGACCCCAATTAGGACTCTTAGGAATATATATATATATATATATATATATATATATATATATATATATATATATATATATATATATATATATATATATATATATATATATATATATATATATATATATATATATATATATATATATATATATATATATATATATAGGATCATAGGAGGCACCTAGATCTTACACCACAATAATCTCTCACCACACAAGAAGTTCCAAGAATCCCATTAGGAGAAATCAAGAAAGAAGGAAGCTTAAAGAAAGACCCTTCATAGCCAAGGAAATTAATTAAGGCTAAGAGGTAACCCATGTCTCAACAAAACCTATTTTCTTCGCTATAATCTCCTTCCTTAGCCTCCCTCTACATTCTTGTGTCTTGATTGAATTCTTCTATGATAATTGTGTTATGTTCTTGATGATTGACAAGATGATTTATATGCTTTCTTGATAATCTTGGTGATCTTGATGTTAAAAAGGAGTTCTTGGTTACGATGTGATGATTCTTGACGGATCTTGATATTTCTTGATGTTAAAGATAAAATATGTTCTTGATGATTTGGGTGGGATTAGAGCCCTAGGTTGGATTGGGAATTTGTATTGTGATGTTCTTGATTTATATTTTGGTGGGAATTCGCATGTTAGGGTGTTGTTTATATTTAGAAGTCGTAATAGGATGAGGCCTACATGATTCTTGCTTTTGATCCGTTAATTGCTTACGTGGTGTCGTTATTTGTGTTTAAAAGTGTCTAAGCATGGTTTCGGGTTCCACAAAGGTTCCCGGGAAGAATATATGAGAAAAGAGTTAGTGGGGGGGTAGGGGAACCCGCCACCTACCCGTTGCCCAAAGGGGCACTGCCCGGCAGCGGGCAGCCACCGGGCAGCCGACTGCCCGCCGGCAACCCGCTACCCGGAACAGCGCCCTCCGGCGGGCAGTCGGCGGGTGACCCCCACCCACCGGCTACCTGCTGGTCCGTACCCAACCCCGGGTCTTTGGCTTTCCCGTTTGATGTTCCCCGCTCCCCATGGTGTCCCAACGGACCCTGTATGTCGTGCTTGAGTCTAGTTTGATATTTCGGGCACCATTCGTAGGTTAAATGAGTCTTAGGAATTGCATGCTAGTTGAATTGGTAACCCGTTGACCTAGGTGGAAGTTGTATGAACCCTTAAGACTATTCTTAGTAAGTGAATGATCACACGTAAGTTTATTTATATGTCATTCCCCTCCCAAATTTGCTACTACGTGCTCCTATGTGTTATGTGTTACATGATCCCCCATCTTGGTTATAGGCCAATTGGGTGGTTCCCGGACTAAGGTTCGGAAGTCGGTTGAAGACCGAAAGGATTGTTCCCGGACTATGGTTCGGAAGTCTGTTGAAGACCGAATGGATTGATCCCGGACTAAAGGTTCGGAAGTGGCTGAAGGCCAATGGATTATTCCTGAGCTAAGGCTCAGAAGTGGCTAAGGCCAAATTGATACACTTCTTGGGCTGCGGTCCAACTATGGGCCTCGGTGCTATGACCCATCGAACTGAACGCGCCAGGCGGTGTGTAGGGCCAATAAGCCGAGGAAGGTTGTAGTCCACCGACATGAGTAATCAGGCGGTGTGTAGGGCTACGGCTGGCTGCGATCCACCGAATGATGGGACAGCGGTGTGTAGGGCCATAGTCTCCGAGGATCTTCGCCCACCGACTGAGTATAGCTCAGCGGTAAGCCAGGCTTGATCCGTTATGATCCACCGACTGTGCGCATCGACGGTGTGTAGGGTCGTAAGTCCCCCCTTGTAAAGGGGATCACGGTCCACCGACTGGGTGCGTCAGCGGTGAGCCGGATCGTGGTCCGACGTTGAGTTCGTCAGCGGTTCTCAAAGGGTTGGTTGCGATCAACTCCCCTCATACCACGGTACTGAGGTAGGGTGCTGCGGGGCTGTGTTAATGCTATAAGCATTAACCCTCATGTTCAGGGCATGCGATTGGTCCCGTGGCGCCATTAACGGCAATGTGATATGATTGATGATTGAATGATGATGTGTTTGAATTAAAAAGTGAACTATGACCTTAATTGTGTAGTCCTTATAATGTTATCTCTACTTAACTGTTTATCATTGTTTGATGTGTTTGCCCCTACTTGCTGAGTCTATTCTCGGTTTTAAAACTAGTGTCTCTTGAGTATATATCTTCCTGCTTCAAAATGATTTTTGTATATATATATATATATATATATATATATATATATATATATCTATAATGTATTTCAACGCGTTGGAGTGGGTTACCAGCATCTCTCGCTGAACAGATATATTTGGCTTTCAGGCATAGATGAGTAGACACTGGAGTGCGCTAGAGATTTGAAGCGTAGAGTAGCTAGTTTCACTTTCGGCCTGCGTGCCATACTTATGTATTGACATCGTTGAGGATTTTAGATAGTTCGCCTGTGCACCTAGGTTCTCTAGCTCAGGTGTGGCATAGCACCCCATACTTTTATGTTATATTTCGGAATTTAATGAGGATTTATCTTTATTATATAAGTTTTAAAAGATCCAAAAATTTCGGGGTGTTACAGGGAGCCAGTTGTGCAGCGCAAGACGGTGGATAATAACATACTTGGAGGTGAGTTGAGAGCTAGGTAGAGCATCCTTATCACCAGTAGGCCATCTATCAGCTTGTCCACCAGTGATCGTTTTGGCCACTAAATCCCAGTTAGTAATTGCTTCCTCTTGAACTCCTTGCAGACCATAATACTTATTAATCATGTCAGGGCCAAAAACATACCATTTCCCTCGAAAGAAAATCTGCAATGGACGCACCCCAGACAAATTGTCTATCTCATCATTGAGATTACAATCGAATTCATACGTGACCAGCTTAGAATATGGGCAGATAGCGGAGACTGTCTTCAGCAAGCCGACTTCACTCAGCAGTGGTAGAATGTCGCAAACTGAATTCATCTGGTTTTCATCAACAGATCTTTGGACAATCAGATGTCTCCTGACCATGGTGGACCATTTAGCTTGAGCAGTGGGAGATACAAACTGAGGCTTGTAAATGGAGGTGTCAGGACTTTCAACAGGCTGAATATCAGGAGTAATACTCCGACCTCTGGAACGTGTAGAAGGTTTCCCTTTTCTGGTAAAGGATGTGGGAACGACAGCAGGTTGAACAGCAGCAGTGCCTTTTTGCTTAACAGATGAGCGTAGTGTTTTAAACACTTGTTTTAAACAGCAGCATTGCCTTATAGTTCCATAGTTAGAACACTCTCTCCATATATATCTTTGATTGTAGATGGTAGGACAATATTTGAAGAATGTAATATTAAAGAGTCGGTCCATACCTTTCCAAGACATATACGCTGATCTTCTTTCCAAATCTGTCTTCTGTAAAACCGAGTACAGCTTTTAAGTAAACAGCTTCCTAAAACAGATCTTCAGTGTCAGTCCTTCTGTTGTTGTACCTGATTGATCAGTCCGCTGTAGAACAAACCGACACTAAGCTATTCCTATCTTAGTATGCCATAATAATATTGTAACACCCCCCAAACACGACCTATATAAAAAGGCCTTAACACCTACAGATCATACAACAAAACTAGAACATCGGAAGAAGATAAAACGAAAACTGGATAAAAGAAATCCAAACGGGGTGTTATGCCACGTCTACTAAACACGGTAAACGCTACGGCGATCAATCTGCAAGTGTATACATCTATCCCAAAGACATCAGTCTAAAACTACATTGGCGCACAGGCCACAAAACAAGGATAAAGGTACTAAGCTACCAGGCACTAGACGTCGCGCTCGTCTAAACATCACCTGAAAGATACAAAGATAAACATTGGGACGACGCCCGGTCAGCGATAATGCTAGTAACCCACCAATACATGTGAAATATCATACATAAATAGATATAGGTTGTAAAGCCATTTTCGAAACGGAATACATAAGTGTATAAGTCAAAAACCAAGATCAGCAGTCAACACAAGACTCATCACTCTCAAAGATAACACGGGAACACATCCCAAACCACTAAGGTTAACCACAACGCAAAGGATAAATACAAGACCGATGGCAACACATGCCCTTGTGACTACACACGTCACAAGAAAGAGAACTCACAACAACGGCTACACAAGCCCTCGCGACATCACCCATCACGAGTTGATATGCCTTCCTTATGCCCTGTTCCAACCTTATGGCTACCCCCAACCTTATATCTTCTTCCAACCATTACCTCCAGGACCCCTGTACAGCCAAGTCCAACCTTATTCCCCCGGGACCGTCGTCCCCCACCAACAACCACCAACGAGACCACCAATTCATAGTACACAAGGTACCGTACACGGCAACACAAGCCCGGATAACACATGTTATCCCCCAAAAACGTGAACATTACACAAAGGCCACAACTCCATAATCACGTCACGGCCACCACGAGGACCGCTGCAATACCTTGGTGACTAGTGTCCCGTACCACTAATCGTGCAATCCAGGTAAAGCCACACACGCACCACAACTCAACAAGAGTCAAACAACGGATCACAACGAAGGTATGAAACATACTCAATCAAGGAACGGGTCACAACCCAACAACATCAACGATGAATGACACAAGTTATCATCAACCAAACGGAAGGTACAAACAACACACACGCTAGCATTAAGACAATAAACTAGCATGCTTAATGTTGGTCCCAAAAGAGGCAAGGTGAAAGTCTAGAGGGGGGGTGAATAGACTTTCAAACTTTTTCGCACAGCACAACAATTGCTAAGCCAGAGATAAACCAAAACTCTTAACTAGATTGTTAGAGTATGGTGCACAGCGAAAATAAATAAACATAAAGTGTGTGTGAGATTGTGTGAGCAGTATATCTCGTGTAGAGCGAATATGTAAAGAGCAGTAAGTAAAGAAAGCAGTAAAGAACACAAGACAATTATAGTGGTTCGCGAGGTGGTGTAATCCTCCTACTCCACTTGCTCTTATCTCCAAGAGCAATTCACTATATCTACCACTTCTTGGTTCCAAGATACAATGAATTTCCGTGATCTAGTGCTTTGATCACAAAGCCCGCACTAATCACGCCCAGTGACACCACACTGCTACTTCGGGTTTCACGTCGCCGCGCTACTATCCCAGGATTTCACGACTCCGCGTTACTTTCCCCCCGTCTTCCACACTCCGGTAGAAACGTATCCCGTGATCTGGTGCTTTGATCACCAAGCCCACACCAATCACGCCCAGTGCCTCCGACACTGCTGCTTCGGATCTCACAGCTCCGTGTGACAATCCAGGATTTCACAGCTCCGTGCTACTTTCCTCCCCTCTCTTGTTTTGCTCCAAAACAAGTGTTGTCTTGCTTCCAACTTCTGAGACTCTGTAGTTGATCTTCAATGATGCGCAGGTCTCTTTGATGAAGATAAACACTCTGGATTGATTTCTCTTGATAGCTCTGAGTGTTTTCTCTCTTTGAATATATCAAGTAAAGCACTTGATATTTTTGCTCTGCTTTGCTCTGTTTAAGAACTCTCAAAATATTTTTTCTCTTGAAGCTCTCTGAGTTCTTTTTTCTTTTCTCACTTCTCACTTGAAGATTTTTGGTATGCTCTGTACCAAAATGAGATTTTTGATCTATGCTCTTTCAAGCTTAATTGCTCTATTCGATCCCTTTTATGGATTCGAATTTTCTGCTCTTGCTCTATTGTATGCTCTATGTTTTTCCCCATCTTCAAGTCTTCATATCTTCATCATTTTATAGCTGGTAATGAGAATCTGTCCGTTGGAAAGAGACGCTCTCATATTTTTGAAATCTTGTATCTTTTTGTCAGAGATCTTATCTTATCTTCTGCAAAGATGTCAGAAAGGATAAGCTAGCCGTTGTTAGAGCTTCATCTCCATGTAAATGAGCTTCCAAACTTCATCTGATATTCCTCTGGTTTAACGTTTGAGTGAGAGTATCTGGGTCTCAGTTTTGGTGTAGAATGGCTTCTCTGATCAACTCTGAAGTGGTCCTTGTATCTTTGGAATTTAAAAAATATTCATTGATTTAATCCCATACTAGTTAAACTAGGATTTTTCCTTGTGAGAATATTTTCACTGTAAGTTCATCTTCATCTTCTTCATTCTCACGTCTGGGTGTTCTCAGACTTCAAACTGGCTTTGAACTTCCACCCAATTTGAATTTCTCCTTTGTAATTGACACGCAATTTCAATTGGCTTGTAATTGGCACCCAATTTGAATTTCTCCATTGTAATTGGCTCCCAATTGACTTTGACTTGCAATTGGCTCTCAAACTGCTCCTGGTGCTTTCAATTGCTTCCCAATTTGACTTGTTGACTTTGACTTCGAAATTGGCTCCCAGACTTCTCCTGGTATTGAATTTCATCTCAATTCAATTTGATCTCCATGTCTTCTTTGAATCGGTCCCCAACTTGAAATTGCATCCCATACTACAACCTCAATTGGCTCCCAATTTCAATTCTTCATTGGCTCCCATCTTGAATTGATTCCCATGTGAAACTTGCTCCCAATTTCAATTGATTTCAATTTCTCTGAAACTGGCTCCCAATCTCAATTGCTTCGAACTGGCTCCCAATTTCAATTGCTATGAAATCGGCAATTGGCACCCAATTTGAACTTCTCCATTGTAATTGGCTCCCAATTGACTTTGACTTGCAATTGGCTCCCAAACTGCTCCTGGTGCTTTCAATTGCTTCCCAATTTGAATTTACACCCAAACTGCTCCTGGTGCTTTCAATTGCTTCCCAATTTGAATTGTAAATTGGCTCCCAGACTTCTCCTGGTATTGAATTTCATCTCAATTCAATTTGATCTCCATGTCTTCTTTGAATCGGTCCCCAACTTGAAATTGATCTCCATGTCTTCTTTGAATCGGTCCCCAACTTGAAATTGCATCCCATACTACAACCTCTACAACCTCAATTGGCTCCCTTTCAATTCCTCATTGGCTCCCATACTACAACCTCAATTGGCTCCCAATTTCAATTCTTCATTGGCTCCCATATCTCCCATCTTGAATTGATTCCCATGTGAAACTTGCTCCCAATTTTGATTTCAATTTCTCTGGCTCCCAATTTCAATTGCTATGAAATCGGCTCCCAAGTGCAATTGCATCTCAATTCTTCATTGGCTCCATTGCATCTCAATTCTTCATTGGCTCCCATCTTGAATTGATTCCCATGTGAAACTTGCTCCCAATTTCAATTGATTTCAATTTCTCTGGCTCACAATTTCAATTGCTATGAAATCGGCATTTCTCTGGCTCCCAATTTCAATTGCTATGAAATCGGCTCCCAAGTGCAATTGCATCTCAATTCTTCATTGGCTCCCATCTTGAATTGATTCCCATGTGAAACTTCTCAGTTCTTCATTGGCTCCCACCTTGTAAAATTGTTGATGGTGAGTTTTGAACTTGAGCCATTTCACATGGCATATCAAGCATCATCCACTTCGTCCGTACAGCTTTTGATTAAATCTCCAATCACATTTGATGTACTCCTTTCTTTCCATAGATGCTTGATCTCCAGGTCAATTTCATGCATTCTTCCAATATTAATTTTCTTCACGAAAATTCTTCTGGGATATCTTCTTTGAGTAGCATTGACGTGATTTCATATCATTCATCTTCTTCTTCAATTTGTCATTTTCTCCAGACAAATTCTTGATTTTAGGCTTTATATCTTCTTCTTCTATTTTCATGCATCTTCCTCTGTTTTTCTCTTTTCCAATTTAAATAATTTCCCGATCATGGTCTAAGACTCTACTAGACTTATAAATAAAATTGGGGGATCTACAAATACAAATTTGGCATATCAAAACCATTACACTTTATTCCTAACACTTAACAACGGAGAAACTCAAGGTAGTTCCGAGGAACACACAAGACACCTCTTGGTCCAACGAAACACAATGAACTAGCATGCTTATCAACGGGGAAACCAAAGATAGTTCCGAGGAACACAGAAGACACTTCACGGTTCAACGAAACACAATGTTGAACACTTTGCACGATTCAAAACACCAAAGTCCTACATGGATACCTACCATATAGTTCTAGACATACGAAACATCAAGAAGAGGCTCAAATAGTTCCACAAAGAACATCAGGAAGTCAAAAGACCAAATACCAAGTCAAACAAATCACGGGGAACAAATCCCATCTCAACGCCAACCATGTACCCGCGGGTAGTGCCCCACCCGTGGTTCCGCCCGCGGG